AAAAAAAAAAAAGAATGTGATAAGAAATGTATAATAATCCACGAGATTTACCCACTTTATCCTCATTTTTGTCTTAAAGATAGCATACCTCACATTTCTTCTTCAAAGCACAATGCCCTTCCTACCATGATGAACTCTCTCTATATGTGAGAAAATATAAATATGTTATAGTTGCTCCTAACTTAAAGTTCATATAAAATATATATTAAGGCATATATTTGAAGAAAATTAATTATATATTTTATGTGTGAAATTCTTGCATGTTAACAAAAATATAGCTGAATCAAATTCACAGTTTGGTTAAAATCAGGCCTTAAAAAAATCAGGCTGTTCCCTTTAGCTGTGTAACACAACTGTGCTCCACACGGCTTCATGTAGGCTTGACAGATAATTTGTCAAAAGTTGAAATCATCTCTAATGATGGCCAAGCAAGGTGGTGCATGTCTATAATTCTAGCATGCCGGGAGGTTGAGGCAGGTGTTCAAGACCAGCCTGAGCAAGAATGAGACCCTGTCTCTAAAAAATAGCCAGGCATTGTGGTGGGCACCTGGAGTCCCAGCTGTGCAGGAGGCTGAGGCAAGTGGATGGCTTGAACCCATGAGTTTGAGGTTGCTGTGAGCTATGATGCCACAGCACTCTACCCAGGGTGATAGAAGGAAAATCTGTTTCAAAAAAAAAAATTAAAAATAAAGAAAATTAAAAATCTCTAGTGATGATAACTGGTATAAAAGCCATGAACATTTGTGAAATTCTACTCCTGCCAAGTTGTCATTATTCTGGTCCCCTGATGGATAGTGAATTTACCCATCCTCTTGTTCAATTCATAAAAATTGCTCTTCCCCTTAGCAGTTGTGTGACCTGGGAGCAAGTGGTTTACTCCCTGGGCATGAATTTCCTATTTGTGAAGTGGAAAAAAAGGATCATAGCTTTCTAGGAGGAAGAAATGAGTGACTGTGCAAAGCGATTAGAACAGCGTCTGGCATGTAAGATGTGTTCAGTAAAAAGTGGTAGGTTTTCGTTTTTGTGTTATTACAGGGTATTTGCTCATGGAACTTGTTTGGGATGGAAGATATTGCACAAGAAAAGTTGTTGCGGTAGCTTCTCAGTCTACAGAATCGCATGCTCTTTACAAATGTCTCCTTTCTCCTCCGTGTTACCACAGGGACTATCTCAACGACCAAGCCTTATGGAGCAAGTGCCACAATCCTGCTGATGTGGTTCCCTGGAATCTGACCCTCTTCTCCATCCTGCTGGTCGTAGGAGGGATCCAGATGGTTCTCTGTGCCATCCAGGTGATCAATGGCCTCCTGGGGACCCTCTGCGGAGACTGCCAGTGCTGCGGTTGCTGTGGGGTGAGTAAAGGTCTCTGTAGCTTCTTCTCAGCATGAGGTCAAGTCGGGCCACCAGCACTAACAGGATGAGGGGGTGGTGGGTGTGGCCACCAGCTCGTGGAGACGGGGACTTGGCACTGCTGGACCAGAAAGTTCTGTTCCCTGTGCGTGTTAACATGGCCGGGCTAAAGCTGGCCACAGAATTCAGTCTCTCCTCCTGTTGACCACAGTTCTGGAAACACTGGACTCCATCCACATATAAAAGCTTACAATGATATTTATATGAAGATCCACAGAAAGCGAGCATTCGTCGTAAGGGCCTCTTGTCAGGACCGACCACCATGGTCTGGCCCACAGTCTTCTCACTTCCCAGGTGAATGGCCCATACCAGTGCAAAACTGAGACTTACAGATGATTTCGGAGATGGGAAAAAGAGAAGTGGTTCTCATGTGAGGAGAAAGAAAAGGAAATCGGGGCGGTGCCTGTGGTTCAAAGGACTAGGGCGCCAGCCCCATATGCCGGAGGTGGCGGATTCAAACCCAGCCCTGGCCAAAAACCACACACAAGAAAGAAAGAAAGAAAGA